TGATTTAATTTTGGTAATTGAAATCTGTCCAGAAAATTGTCCATTTCCTTTAGATTTTCAAATTTTGAGGAATATATGTTTTCGAAGTATGAACTGTTGATTCTCTGGATTTCCTCTGTGTCTGTTGTATGACCCCTTCTCATTCCTGATTTTATTGATTTGCTTGTTCACTCTTTGCTGTTTGGTAAGTTTAGATAAAAGTTTGTCTATCCTGTTGATTTTCTCAAAGAACCAACTCTTTGTTATATTGATTCTTTGTATTGTTCTCCTAGTTTCCATTTTATTGAGTTCAGCCCTCAATTTGATTATTTCCTGGTGTCTGTTCCTCCGGGGTGTATTGGCTTCTTTGTGTTCTAAAGCTTTCAGTTGTGCTGTTAATTCTTTAGTGTGATTATTCTACTGTTTCTTCATGTGGGCACTTAGCACTATGACTTTTCCTCTTAGCACTGCTTTCAAAGTGTCCTAAAGGTTTGGGTATATTGTGTCTGCATTCTCATTGGACTAGGAAATCTTTAATTTCTTTTTTAATTTCTTCCTCGACCCAGGAATTGTGCAATTGGGTGTTACTTAATTTCCATGAGTTTGTAGGTTTTCTGTAATTCGTGTTGTTGTTGAATTCTAACTTTAAAGCATGGTGGTCTGATAAGATACAGGGGATTATTTCAAGTTTTTTGTATTGGTTGAGGTTTGCTATGTTTGGCATACATTCTTATGTGATTTTCAGAGCAGCAGGCTTTCACTGCCCAGTGTTCTCTGTCTCAGACGTAGTCTTCCCTTCCCATAGAGACCTTTTACTCACTTAGTGCTCACCTTGTGACTTGGTTCAGTGACCACAATTCTCTCCCTTCCTCTGTGGCTCTGCTTAATAATATTTAACTATCATGTGCACAGAGAACATGAGGTTGCTTGAAAGACATGCTGGGTGACAAGTGTGAGGCTACTTGAGGCTATAGGGTGAAACCTAGACCAATCAAGGCTGAGCCTGGTCTGCTGCAAGCCCAAGGGGATCAATTACTTAAGCCCTCTGACTCTGGGTCTTTTGAATGCATTTGTGAAGTTAAAATCCTACCACAAAGAAAGGAAACCACAGGGCTCCTACTGTCCAGCTTGCTACCCCTACTGTAGAGTATGAAAGATGATTTAGTGCAGGCATTTTCCTAATGAACAAAATTCCTTCCTTTCTTTCTTCCTTCCTTCCTTCCCTCCACTACCCTTGTTTTGTATCTCAAGATACCCCTTCCCAACTGTGAAGCAGAAAACTGTGTACCTGTATGCATCCAAGGTAGCCATGCTGTGAAGCAACATGAACAGCGCTGTTGCCTTCCTGATCCACTTCATCCAGTGAAATGCCTTGTTCTTGCATGAACTGAAGAAGCCACAGGAGTATCTTCTCCTACACACACACACATACACACATACACAAGAGCACTTGGGATTAGCGGACTATCATACAGAGAAGTTGAATACAAAGAAACAGCATTATAACTCACTAGCAGTATGTAACATCAAATATTGCTTATCCTATCAAAAGAAGATTATCATTCAGTATACACTGAAAAGCTGTGGGTCTGACTGTAACACGAAAGATGATCACATAGAAGATTTGAAGGTGGGAAGTTTCCTTGGAAGTGTTCTTGCTACTTATGCTACAGAAAGGGGGAAAAGGTTCACAGAGAGTCTCTGTCTTCATGGTCACACAGCTACACAGATCTGAAGTTGGAACCTGGAGGCAAATCTTTTGATTTTAAATCTCTTAAGGTTACACTTTCAATTCTGTTAATCTGTCTGTCGGCTTCAAGCCGATTATTCCAAAGCCTTAGGCTACCAACACAACTTGATTTACTTTTCCATTTATATTCTTAAACTATGGCCTCCTAATCCTGAACATCCTGCAGTCCATAGGCTGACAACTGTCAAGTTCAAGATAAAGTCGCTGAGACAGAGCAGGAACTTCTTGTCTTTGTCTCTGACCAAATACTGGTGGTTTTTTAAAAAGTATTATTATTATTTTCTTCATGTTAAAGGAAAGGGACCAAAGGCAAAGAGACCAAATCTTTACAAAGCAAAGCCAGAGAGCAGTGAGCCGTCAAGATGTTTCATCGTAATCTGTTTGCAGTTTACCCACTGAATGTTTTGTGGTATTTTCATGCCATGGCTTTTGGGGAAAGCAAGAAGATGGGATTTCACTGTTTTAAAATAGAAGAATTAAATATAAAGTTAAAAAATTGAGAGTGGTAAAAACAACAGCGTGAAGCTTAGTGGGTGGAATGTGACATTTAAGAAGATGATCATGTGTTTGAAATAGCCTTGAACTTCTTCCTTCTTAACCTTTTAAAGGGTTTTCTCCCCTCTGGTTATTTGTTCAGGCTGGCCATGAACTTTTTTTGGATTAAGTTTGCCTTCATCTCCCAAACATGCCAGCTAATCTGCTAAAGGAATGTTGGATCCAAACAGCTAACTCCTTTAATGTTTTCCTCTCTGTTGGTGAAAAGGGCACTGTTTTCAAAGGTATCTGACACATGGGGGCAGGAGAAATATTTGTGCCACACTCTGTCCAAAAGAACAAGCTGGAGTAAGACCCCTCAAAAAGCTAAATGAGGAAAATGGAACTGATTCCTACATCTGAGCCAGAATATACTTGGGAGAGCAGGATGAATGCTAGCTGCAGATGTAGAGAGTCAAAGGAGATCTTCAAAGGTCCCCAGAAAACTAGGTGAGGCTGAGCCTGGAGACTCAGGTTGAGAATTAGAAATTGGAGAAGGAAGTCCAGATAGGCTTAACTCTCTTCTTCAAAGGTCAACAGAAACTAAAAATATATTTACAACATTAAGAAGAAAGGGCAATTGGCCTACTTGTATTTTGTAAAGAAATAAAATCTTTCCTGTCATATCATTTGGATGGGTACTTCTCAATGGGACGGCATAAGTGGTCTTCTAATTACATGCATTTAGGATTTCAAGATAGATGGCTAGTTTCCCTTGTTTTCACATAAGATCTTTAACACTCATTATCAGAGAAATTTAGCTCTCATTCTGGGGTACATAGAGATGCAGAGTCCTAGAATGAGATGGTGAGTTATTCGACAAGTTCATTGAAGCATAAGCAGGAGAGAATGACCACTTATCCAACTAAGAAGGCTCTCATTGATGCAAATATGCATTAGATACATATTTAATGACATCTTCCTTCCCTCCTAGCCATTTAATGCTTTCAGATTCCCCCCCCCCGCCTGTGTGTGTGTGTGTGTGTGTGTGTGTGTGTGTGTGTGTGTGTGTGTTGTTCTTCCCCTCCTTTGCAGGAGGAGATGTTGAAGGAGGAATGCAATGTCAGATTTTCAGTTTTTGGTAAATATTGCTTTCAGAGAACATTCTAAGCAGTCACTTGGATAGAGAAGCTTGTCTCTACTGTTTCTATTTTGAAGAATAACTCTCCAATATAAAGTCTGTCCACCTGTCATCTATCAACCCATACATCCATGTATTTATTCAGCTTACATCTATGGACCCAGAACTTTTCTCATATACTTATTTCATCTTCTGAGGATTTTTCTGGCCTTTGGATAACCTGTTTTAGCATTGCAACTTAAGTGCTCTCAAAGGCAATACAAACTCCTTAAAGAGGCAATTAATACATGCAATTTATAAGATGTGCTGAGCAAAGTCTAATAAAAGTTTAATTGAAATATATGTCACAGTTTTATTGCTGGCATCAATAAAATCTCTACAGTTTGTGGTACAACCAGGAGTCAGCTTTGTCTGCAACAATAGACCATCAAACCCAATACAACATCAATTAGAGATTCATCCCATTTACCAAGATGTTAAAATGTTAAAAAAAATAAGTGGTCACCAATACTTTTACATCACTTGTTGTAAGATAAATGTAGGATACAGAGATGTCAAAATGTTGGGGGAAAAGATGCATCTAACAATTAAGTATATCAACGACAAAATACTTTCTTGGTAAGTTTGTCTTATGCTTTACTTAAAGTAAGATAAGTAGATAAACTACACTGATAGCAATAAAATCAACCAATTGGAAGATTTGCCATAGCAGCCAACATTTGTCTAGTTCATACATTGGGCTGGGCAGTGTACTTGTCCTCATTAAGTCTTCAGAACAACTAAGAGGAAAGTTCTCTAGTCATGTCATACAGATAAGGATACAAAGGCACAGGACACACTCTGTTTTCTCTTCTCTTTCCTTGTTTTGAATTCATTTTTTTCTTCTTTCTACAGGCATGCATGCGTGCAAAGCCACCAAGCTGGGACTTGGTAGGATTAAACCCCAGATACCTGGCACTAGGGCTCAGTTATCTTTGTGACTGTTTTCCATCTTCTGAGCTCAAATGCCCAGAAGACTGCTCTTTTCTCCAACAGCTCTGATTCTAGCAGGCATGCTCCTATAGAGCCCTTAGGCTTACAGTAAACTCTGGTTACCTGTCAGTCTGTAGGTGTGGAGCTCTAGTACCTTTTCAAGATCACTACTTGGAGTGTAGATTGATGTTTGTGCTACTCAGGTTTTTTCTGTCAGCAGTGGTAGTAAAAAGCCCATCTGTAACCCGAGGTTTGGGAAGGCTAAAATGTTTGGATCTCAAATTCTCTGTTAACCTATGCTACATAGCAAGTCTCTATCAGGGAACAAAAGCAAAACAGAACATAAACAAAACACAAATAGATTTCTCTACTTTTCTTTCATCTCCAACAACAGCACTTTCAGATTGTTTACTTCTTTCTGCCCCATGACTGTGAAACAATAGTCAATAAAACAAAGTCCAGGAAAGAATCCTTCTCTGGTTAAAGTGAGTCACGGAACAACAACAGAGCATGTAAAAACATCCCCCTCACCATCATGCCCTTCCCTGCCAATGACCATTCACAGGAAACTATGAGCCTGTTCTAGCTTCAAAAAGAATCTTTAAAACATACCAAACATTCTCCAGACAAAAATTTAAAATGAAGGCTAGACACAGTGTCCAGAGTTATGAAGGTAAGTTGTTTCTGTAGAATGTGTTGACTAAATGTCCTACAAAAGACTCAGAAATGAAAGGAATCACAAATTCAATGTTGCACATCACACAGCCCCCTATCCAAGTATCAAGGCAAGATAGGGTGGCACCTCCCACAGCAGTTACAGGCAGAATAGCTGTTGGGAGAGCCCGGATATGGCCTGAATCTTCATATTTGAATAAAATCCCCAAGCCACACAGAGGATGGCTTTGAATCAACACAGTTCTGTTGCAATTGTCTGGCCAGCAGCTTTCCTATTGGGGAGGCAGAGCAGGCCTATGCAAGGACACCCCAGGCCTGCTCCTCTGGTCCCCACAAGGCTTTCACCTTATGCTCCCTGTAGCTAGTTCTGTGAGATACAGCCAGGCAGTGAAATAATTGTACCCTCTGAGACTTCAAGTGTCAGCATGAAGAAAATCAATTCCTATCATCCAAAGATCTCTCACTCCAGGAGTCCACTAAATCTGCTGGCTACTCTATGGTATTGGAGTCTTTAAGGTACATTTTTACAAGAAAAATAACACAAATTGGGAGTCAACTGGAGCCTGATCTATTGGAGGGTAGAGAGCAAGTAGAAGAAGCAGGGAACAATTTCCTTTGGTTGGTCCAAACCTTTCCAAAGATATTTACTGAGGACAAAACTCAGAATGCACTCTAGTGCCTGCCTGGCAGAGAAAGACTTGCATTGCTGAATCCATTAGAAAACTGCTCAATAACAGTCTTCCTTGTGGAAATATTAGCCTTGTAATTGTTCCAAGTTCAGTCGCTCTGCAGGTTATCTGTTACATAAAGTGGCTGCAGTGAATAGAAGATGACACTGGACAGAACTGGTGGATCGAATGGGCTTCTATATTTTCCATGTGGGGGGGCAGACTGTTCTCTGGAGGATACTATTGGATGGCCTCCTTCAAATCTGCATTTTATGTCGTAGAAATGCATCTCATCCTAGAAGAACCTCAGTATGAATACCCAGCGTGAAGCTAATGTTTGACAAGTCTTTTCAGATAGGTCACAAACAGATTCCGAATTTTCCTAGATTTCAGCTCAGTAAGCGGCAGCTCACACAGCTGTCCCACAAGGGACACTTCCTTTTGTTCTATTCCAACAGCTTAAGAATTCTGAGTAGCATGCTGTGAGACATGAATAAAAAAAATGGCATCTAACTGTCATTTCCTTGAAGAACACTGATGCCCAGTCCTTTGCCCAGAGCCTTAAATAGGCCTGCTAGCCCCACTTCCCTTCTTCCCTGGAGTCAGTGCTGCACCCTTTCCACAAATACCCCAAAGGCCCAATTAGGCTTTGACTGAGCAAATGAAAATAGAAATGTAAAGCCATCGATCACGTAGCCTAATAAATTTGCTCAATAACCAAAATGACTTATGGAGATTAGCAGTGGTCAAATACTTGAGAAAAATTTAAAACCCTCTATTCTCCTTTCCAATAAAAGTACAATAATAACACATTCTTAGAAAATGTGTAGTCATTGTCTCTGGTTATTTTCATGACAGAGGGTTGGACTGGGGAGCAAAATGCAAAACAAAGTTGTAATTCTAATATTTTAAAGGCAGTGACTTATTCAAACTTTTAATGTTCTTCCTACCCACCCCTTTTACGTTACAAGCATTTATACCGTTTTTACTTCAATGCCTGTGTGAGATACTCCAACTATCATAAAATATTGCTAAGTAAAATAATAGTCATGTTCTATCAATGCCCTATCAATGGCATTATAATAATCTATATAAACCATCTGTACAGATAGGGACAAAGCAACTCAGCCCCCGAAGACACAAGACCTGAGTGGAAATCCAGTCTTCACTCTTAATAGCCACAAGACAATCTATAAGCCATTTACTTAGCTTTTCTTTTTCAGTTTCTTCATCTGTGGGATAAACAGGATCTTATAATTTACATAAAGTCCAGTGGCATGGAGCTTGACACACAAAGGAAATGTGTGCAAATGTGTGTGTGCTTTATCTTTTTTAGTTATCTAAGTTTATATATGTATTATAACAGTTGAAGTTGCTTTGGTACAGAATAAACTTTCAGCTAGTAGTATGATTACTACTAAAGAAAGGCCAACTCAGGCATGATGGCATACTCTTCTAATCCCAGCACTTAGGCAGTGGCAGAGGCAGAGGCAGAGGCAGAGGCAGAGGCAGAGGCAGA